TAACGATATATAATATGGCTATCGTTCCGATCATTGGCTACGCTTATGAAACTTGGAAGAGTGGTGCATGCTACACAAGAGCTGAACGCAATCTTAACTCCAGTCGGGCACTGTGTGCAAGGGTAGTGAGTGGGTCTTATAATGATATTTCTGCAGAAGCAGCAGGCGTAATAGCTAACATCAAGCCTCTTTACATTGAGCTATCTGCGAGACTGGCTATACATAACTTTAAGAAGAAGAGAAATGTTACACATATGGGTACTGAATGGGTTACTGCTGAGGCTCCCAGTTTGAACAACGCAAGGCTGCTGGTCGATCTTGCCAGTCTTGATGAATGGCAGGCGTTATGGGATGCACATGATCGCGGCAGGCTCACTCATAAATTCTTACCGTCAATTCACGAAAGGCAGACACTCACTATTCCTCATTCTCGTACACTGGCGACTATACTCTCTGGGCATGGAAGATTCCATAGACACTTTCATCTTGTGGGCCGTACTGACGATCCTAACTGTCCGAACTGTGGCGTGGTTGATGATCCGATCCATAGAATATATGACTGCTCGAATTATGTGTCTCACAGACAGCTGCTTGCAGACTTGATACCCGGCTGGCCTATTGAGCCTAATAATTTACTCGCGTCACTAATTGAAGAGGATTTAGTCGATCTTCTGTTCCCTTTTGCAGAATGTGAAAACACTTCCTACTAACTAATTGGCTCATCCGCTCTTTATTAATCTATCACTTGGCTGTCCTACCTTAAACTGCCCCTCCAAGCACGAGGTAAAACTGCTAGGCTGCGGCCTCTCAGCGACCGTGTTCCGGTCGCAGCTGCAGACATCTATCTATGGTCATTAAACTATCTTAGGCCATTTTCTGTCTGCAGAACCATAATATTTCGGCTTTACTGCTCCTGCAAGAGCTTAAACTGCTCTTATAATAATTTTAGTTTTTCTCCGGCCGCGTGCCCTCTTTGCGCCGAGACGTGGCGCGCGGTGGTTCTTAATTGGGCTGTCCAAATCCTCTGCATAAGGTTAAACTGCTAGACGGGTTCTCCCGCCCGTCGGCTACTTTTTCCTTACTTTGGACTAATACAGGTCAATTGAGACTAGCATAGTTCTCTTATTCACTGGGTAAATTGGGATTTAGTTCTAGTATAGTTATTAGTAATTAGATGTAGTAAATAATATAATTATTTGGGAATATTACATTAAAGTTTATTCAAATTTTTACTCCTCAAGAATAATATGGCTCTAAAACAGAGGTTTTAGATACTCTGTCGCATTATATGCTTCTATGACGAGGGGGTCCGGGTGTTATGCTGGCAGGCCAGCTAATGCTTACTTGGTCATTGCCTTGAAACTTCCTCATTCCTTTTCCTTAACTAACAAATTATTGTAATATAATGTCTATTATTATTGTAAAACTGTATCTAATAAACAATGTAAAACATAAATTATATCAATAAAACAGCTATGAGCAAAAAAAAGGGAAAGATTGGGGAGATGGTGGTAAGGCAAGGGCTTGTGGGTTGTATTGTGTGTATGACGGTCGGGTGCTGCACTCTGTGCTGTGGCCGACCGTCATGCAGACGATACGTGGGGCCTTCCCCTTTGTCTCTCTTTTTTTTTACCCCTTCCTATCCTCCTGGGCACGAGGATAAACTGCCCACCTCTTCTCTAAATATAAATATCGATTGGTTCTTCTTCGGTAGCTTGATATGGCAACTCTAAAAATCTCTAAAATCTCTATCCTCCTGGGCACGAGGATAAACTGCCCACCTCTTCTCTTCTCTAAATCTTGATTGGCTTTTCCTTGGTAGCTTGGTATGGTAAGTCTAAAAATTCCGCAAACTTACATTGCTTGCAAGACTTGCGTTATTATAATCCTCGATGACCGCTTCCTCAAGGCTTCTAGCCATCTCTTTCTTGGGTTTCAACGGTTAGCTTTGCTTTAATGCCTGATACGGCAATTCTAAAAATTCTCTTCAACTTGTACCCTGTCTTCTGATAGGCGTACATACAACGTCCCCTCCTTGGTACGAGGTTAAACTGCCCTCCATAAATAAAATAATACAATAATAAAATAAAATAAATAACTTCTACACAAATTGCTTCCCCTCACTTTATGGCACGTGTATAAACTGCTCTCCTTTGCCTTAACAATAGCTAAACAATTAATCACGTCGGCGGGCCAGCTCGCACCAGCTCTGCCCGTTCGCTCGCGATCTCTTCACTCAGACTTCCCCCTCAGGGATCTAGGATAAAAATTATTAGTAATTAGTAATTAAGTTTAGTATAGATTAGTTAGGATAGGGTTTATTGGCTTGGTCTTACAACGGTTTTCCGTTAAATAAATCTTTCATTTCTTCGCTTTGTTGCGTAACGTAAAACAAGGGTTTTAGGTACCTTGTTCCACTTTGTGGTTCGTTGACGAGAGGGTTCTAGCATGACGACACGTCCGTCCTGCGCTCACTCTGCGCTAAATCATTCCTTTCCTTCCCTTACCATCTCACATATGTACTATACCGTGGTCTAACCAATGCTTCATACATACAATGTAAAGCCCTCGGGCTAAGATTCTAAAATTTTTTGTAAAATTACTAACACAATTGTAATAAATTTTAAAAGCTAAATAAACTTGAAAACAGCCTCGAGGCAACAGTAGGGAAGGGAGACAGAGTGGTTGGCAAGGGCTTGTGGGTTGTGGTTCGGACATCGTGACCAAGGCCGGTTCGCTGACCTCGGCCGCGATGCCCGGACTACCTGGGGCCTTCCCCTCTGTCTTTCTTTTTTTTACCCCTTCCTTTTTTGCTTCTTGGACATAAAGGGAGCTTTCGACAACGTATGGTGGCCTACTGTGATCCATTCTCTAATAAACAAAGGCTTGTCTTCAGATATAATTAATATTATAAGAAGCTATCTTACAGACAGAAGCACTTCTCTCACACTTGGTCCCGCAGTTGTCGACAAGCCTAACCAGAGGTTGCCCCCAGGGCTCCGTTCTCGGTCCATTACTTAGGAACGCTGCTCTTGATTCCTTACTAAAAATCCCTCTTGGGAACAATGTCAGAAAGTTCGCTTATGCTGACGATCTAGCAATTGTTGTGTCTGCCGACAACCGCCCTCATCTGGAAACATCCATGAATAGCGCTCTTGCACGCATCTGCTCTTGGGCTGACGAGAATAAAATCTCGTTCTCGCACGAAAAATGTAATTACATGATATTTAAGGGAAAGCATAAGAAAAGACCAAGCATCAAGCTCAAAAATCGACCGGTCCGATTTGTCAATTCTGCCAAATACTTGGGCATTACTCTGGACTACCATCTAAACTACCAGCTCCACATCAAGTCTGTCTGCCTAAAAGCCAAAAGTCTCTTCTCCAATCTCAGAAGGCACATCACACATGTATGGTCGCCACCCTCCGAAAGTCTCTCTATTATATATATTATATATAGAATGGCGGTTGTTCCTATAATTGGATACGCCTTCGACATTTGGAAAAGCAAGGCATTTTACTGCAGGGCCGAAAAATTCCTCAACTCTTGTCGGGCACTATGCGCCCGCGTAGTCTCTGGCTCCTACCGGGATGTCGCGGCTGAAGCCGCGGGGGTCCTAGCTAACATAAAACCGCTTTACCTGGAATTATCAGAAAGATCTGCTCTGTCCAATATACGAAGGAAAATTCCCACCGGACATCTGCAACTGTCCTGGCCGGACGTGGATAGTCTCCCTAACATACACGATGCCAAATCCCTCATAGAGACTGCCAGCCTCGAAGACTGGCAGACATATGGGATGATTGCCCAGTTGGACGCACTACCCATAAATTCCTGCCCTCTGTTTCTATCAGGCAAAATATGAAAATCCCCCATTCTAGAGACTTTGCGGCCATACTCACTGGTCATGGCAGGTTTAAACGACATTTCCACATGGTTGGTAGAATTGAAAGCCCGGACTGCTCCCTTTGCAATGTGGTGGACGATCCATTACACCGCATCTACTGCTGCCCACTTTATGATGTACCCAGAGCTGCGCTCACCGAAGTCCTACCGGACTGGCCGATTTCTCCGTCAAACCTGTTTGAGCATCTATTGTCTATTAACTCACTTGGTCTTTTCTCTCCTTTCGCCATATGCGACGATTTACCCACTAACTGAATTGCTTGCTTGAGCCAACGTCGAAGAGGCACTGCGGGCCGGGGGGCGCCTGGGCGTGGGTCCCCTCTGCGCGGTTAGGTGGGCTGTGCCTGCTATGGCTACTCTGTGGGGGCCTGCGACCGGGCGTCTGCTGGCTCCTCCAGTGCCATTGACGTCTCCCTACTACCGCAACCTGCGCGGATATTTCAGTTCTTGCACCAGGACTGGAATTAGTTAAGATTAGTTAAGTTAGTTAGTAAGGTTACTCGGTGCGTTGGCCGATGCATACCCACAAAATTTTTTTTATTTTACTTAATATTAATTAACGAGGCGACACCTCAAAATACATTTCACTTAATTTATCCCAGTTATAAGTTAGTTTAGTAAACGACTAAGGTCAATTCTGCTCCTTGCTCATGCAATAAAGTGTATCTGCATTATATAACTTATCACTGCTTAATCCAAGGGTTATTGGTACCTTGGGCACAGTGTGACCATATGTGGCAGTTTCCTGATTTTTTGGCAGGATTTGCCCCTTAATTTAACCTCTGGCAGATTAGTTGGCATTTTATGAAATATGGCAGTTTTTGGCAGTTTTACAGGAAAAAATATCGAAATAATGTAATTTTTTTCCATACTTTATTAAATTATTTCATTCTCTATGATTTTTTTTAGTAGACCGCCATCTCTAGGGCATTTAATTCGCAAGTAGTAGTATTCTATAATAAATAGATCCTTCTTTCCTTGTTTTAAATCACTGCCGCTAGATTAGTGCTAACCCAAACGTTTCGCGGAATTCACAGAAAATATGTTATATAACCTATAAAATATTCAGAATTTCTGAATATTCTGAATCAGAAATGAACCGAAAATACGAAAGAGCATATCGCCTGGAGTGGGAACAAGATCCAGTGCTTTCATCATGGATATCGAAATCTAAAGAAGATCCAGACGTAGCATTTTGTAAAGCATGCAATACAAAATTAGTGTCAAGACTGTCTGCTTTAAAAGAGCATGCTATTACTAAAAAACACGTTAAGAACATGATTGGATATAGCGGGCAATCCTCGGTAAGTGTTTAAATTGCAGTATTTACGCATTATAACCTTATATTGAACCATTAAATTAAATAAATATTCTAAACTCAATTATTTGCTTCAGGTGCAACGTTTTTTTAAAGACTCTCCAATAGAAGTTGAGGTGAAAAAAGCAGAGCTTAATATGTGTGCGTTGTTAGTAGAGCATAATTTGCCATTTCGCTTAATGGATCATATGAGTGAAATTATTTCCAAGTGCTTTTCTAATCCAGAAGTTGCCAAATTATTTTCTTGTAAAAGAACCAAAGCTGCTGCGTTAACTTATAATGTTTTAAAACCTGAATTGGAGAGGGAAATGCATGAGGATTTAAAATCTTATCAAAACATAAGTTCTCAGGCACCAGTTTTTTCTCTAATTATGGACAAAAGTACAGATGTTTCCTCGACAAAAATGCTTGCTGTTGTAACGAAATATTATTCTAAAAAATGTTTAAAAGTAAAAACGAAATTTTTAACTTTGGTTGATTTAGAAGGTGAAACAGCACAACACTTGTTTGACGCACTTTCGAAGGCATTGCAAGATGTAAATCTTGATATTAAAAATGCCATTGGTTTTGGTGCTGATACTACAAATGTAATGTTTGGTGATCGTGGTGGAGTTATTGCCAAAATTAAAGAAGAAAATCCACATTGTGTTTTTATAAAATGTGTGTGTCATTCCACTGCATTATCAGTTAGCCATGCAAGTAAGGACAAATTACCAAGGGCTGTAAACCAAGTTGTTCAGGAGGTATATGGGTATTTTGCTCACAGTAGCAAACGGCAAAGGGAATTATCTGACTTTCAAGAATTTGTAAGATCTGAAAAACACAAAATATTACAGCATTATGATATTCGTTGGTTGTCATTTCACTCATGTGTTAATAGAATTCTTGAACAATGGAATGCACTCAAACTGTATTTTCAAGGGCAATATTTGAATGACAAAAATATTTCAACCCAATTTTTGTGTGAAAGTTTTAATGACAATATTCTAAAACTTTATTTTTATGCATTAGATTATATATTGCCAATTGTTAACAAATTAAACACCATATTTCAGGGAGATTATACGACTGTGCACATGGTCTTTAAAGACGTTTCTGAAATGTTTATGTCACTGTTGAGTTGCTACATGAAAAGCAACTACATAAAATGCACAGACCCATTAGATCTAGACCCCAAATCTACCGTTAACTTTTTACCTCTAAAGCAGATGTATTTGGGTGTTAACGTCGGTAGAGAAATTGATCGCCTAGGAAAAGATTTCAACGACCAAATTCGGACATTTCTAGATCGTATGCAATCATTTTTAATTGAGCTTTGCTCTCAATTAAAAACACGACTGCCATTAAACAGCTTGTTTAGGGATTTGAAGTTTTTAGCACCCCAACACGTCGTATATGAAGACATTTCGTCCATTGCAAATATTATCAACAATTTTCCTAATCTTGGCAATGATAATCATATCCAAAAAATTGATGAAGAGTACAGACAACTTAAACTTGATAAAGACGTGGAGGATTTGTTGGAATCAGGCGGAAGTAGTTCCAATTCAATTTTAAGTGTTGATAAGTTTTGGGGTGCTATTTACATATTTCAAATTTTGCGAAGGGGCTGTTGTGTTTGCCGATGTCCAACGCTGCGTGTGAGAGAATCTTTTCTCAAATTAATCTGATTAAAACAAAAATACGAAATAGATTTCTCAATAAACATGTATTCTCAATATTGCATGTCAAACAAGGCATTAGTGAACATGGCGATTGCATTTCATTTCAACCCACCAAGGAAATGGTGAAACAAATTAAAAAATCTATGTATAACGAAAATAACAGAGAAGAATATGATTTAAATGTCGATGTTTATTAAGTTGTTTTACTTGTAGGTAAATGTTAAATTATTTTTTTTTATGTTGTTGTGAATACAAATTTTATTTGAAAAATGTTTTTATTTCATTACTTTGTTAAATAAAGTTGGCACTATTTTGGCATTTTCTTTGATAGGGTTTGGCAGTATTTGGCAGTTTTCTAGCTAAAGCGTGGCAGTTTCTCTAATTTTAAGTTGGTCACACTGCTTGGGCACCAAGTGTGCATCACGAGAGGGGCCCTTTCACCGGGCCGGTGTCGGGTCTCTCTCCTTCCCAATTCACTCTTGCTGCCTCTACACTTCCCAAAAATTTGGGTATCCATCGGCCAGCTACTTGCCGGCCTAAAACTCTTGTTCCATATACTAGATTGGTACATATTATATCACCCTGTAATATACTCTGTAATTGATTTGTAATAAAGACGTGGGTTGGGAGGGGGAGAGAGAGAGGTTGACATTGGGCTTGGGGTTGCTGCTATTTGCGGCGCCGTCGGTGTCTGCGTTCGCGCGGTCATCGGCGGCGGCGTAAGTAGCATCTTAAGGGGTCTCCCCTCTCTCTCTTCTTCTTCTTACCCCTTCCTTTCCTCCTGGGCATGAGGCTAAACTGCCCATCCCTGATGTGGTGGGTCCGGTTTTCGGACCGATCCTACCACTTCTCCTCTCTGCGACTTGGTACCTCTTCTTGTTTGATTTTGTTTGATTTTGGTTCGACCTTATAGCCTGTGTATTCTTGCATTGCTGGCAAGGCTTCCCGTCTTCCCTTGCGTCTGCTCTAGCATATCGTTATAAATCAGACTTATTTAGGTTCCATCCTCCTGGGCATGAGGATAAACTGCCCGTCCTCGCTTCCTCGCATCCTCACTCCGAATCTTAGTTGAGTTCTCTGCTTAAAGCTCGATAGGGTAATTGTGTAAACTTACAATCCTTCCTCGTCTAGTATTCCTCGCTGATTGCCCTCGGTAAGACTCCTGGCCTTCTCCTGTTTCGGTTTTATGTCCTTTAATTTGGCTTTTAATGCCTGGTAGGCAACTCTTACTCAATACAACTTGTACCCTGTCTTCTGTTAGGTGTTTACATGCTGTCCTTCCTCCTTGGCATGAGGCTAAACTGCCTCTCCGCAAAATAGCATTCTGCACAAATTACTTCCTCTTTACTCTATGGCACGAGTATAAACTGCTCTCCATTACCTTACATATAAATAGTTAAATAAATTGATCACGTCGGTCGGGCTAGCTTTGCACCAGTCTTGCCTGATCGTTGTCGATCTCTTCAACCACATTCCCCCTCAGGGATCTGGGTCAAATTTTTAGTTAATTAAGTTTAGTTTAGTTTAGCTAAAGTAGGGTTCACTTAGCTGGGTCTCATAACGGTTCACCGTTCATAATCTTTCATTACTTTTTCGCTTTGTTGCGTACCGTAAATCAAGGGTTTCAGGTACCTTGTTCCACTTTGTGGTTCGTTGACGAGGGGGTTCTAGCACGACGGTTCGCCTGTCTTGCGCTCACTCCGCGCTAAATCATTCTCCTTTCCTTCCCTCCTTACCTTCACCTACATTATTATATCGAACGTTATTACTAACCAATGTCATACATATATAGTGTACAGCCTCCGGGCTAAGATTCTACAATTGTTATACTACTAACATGAATGTAATAATATAATTATAAGCTTAAATAAATTGAAAACAGCCTCGAGGCATTGGTAGGGGAGGGAGACAGAGTGGTTGGCAGGGGCTTGTGGGTTGTGGTTCGGACATCGTGACCGGGGCCGGTTCGCTGACCCCGGCCGCGATGCCCGGGCTACCTGGGGCCTTCCCCTCTGTCTTTCTTTTTTTTTACCCCTTCCTTATCTTTTCGCAGAGATCCCAGAAAGTACATTTCACAGTGCAATGCAATATGGCTTCAGAGAGGGCCGGTCGACGGTCGATGCAATAAACGAACTAATCAATAAAATCAAAAGCAATACTAATAACTATGTGATCACTAGTTTTCTTGACATAAAAGGTGCTTTCGACAACCTTTGGTGGCCCACAGTAATTGACTCTTTAGTCAGTAAAAACATCTCAACCAACTCTCTCAACATAATACGTAGCTACTTAAAAGATCGACAAACCTGTTTTGAGCTGGGTCCGGTCAAGGTCCTCAGGTCCATATCTAAAGGCTGCCCTCAGGGCTCAGTCCTGGGTCCTCTACTTTGGAATGCGGCTCTAGATAGCCTTCTCAAGACACCTCTTGCTGACGGCTCTTGCCTCTTTGCGTATGCTGACGACATTGCGGTCTTAACTTCTGCGCAAAATCGACCTGGCATTGAACGAGTGACTAATCAAGCACTTGAGACGATCAGTTCTTGGGCGCTGGAATTTTAGCAAACATTAAACCTATGTATCTGGACCTATCAGCCAGGCAAGCATTGTCAGATTTTAGAAAGAAAAAGCCTGTCTCTCACTTAAATATTAGCTGGCCATCATCGAGGGATTACCAAAGCTGGAATAACGCAATAACTGCCATCGAGACCGCTAGTCTAAATGAATGACAACGCTAAGCTCTCTCCCCCCTTTTCCCGCGTACGTGGGTGTTAGTAAATCGCGTGTGATCCCAGCGGTAGTGTTGGCTTCTCCTCGAAGCCCCCTTTGTCCCCTGCCCCGTTGTCTCTTCCTCCTTAAAAGTCCCGCTGTGCTGGGTCTCTTCAATAAGCGAATAAGCCTTTCGAGAATTCAGAGTTGTGTTATTTATATTGTGTTTTTTATATTGTGGTCCTGTCGAAAGACAGAATTTTATTTTATTTAGGGTGGCCTGGCACCACACCTTTATAGTTTACAAGTTTATAGGCTCAGTAAATATTTCTCTGTAGTGATTAGTAGTAGAAGGATAGCCCGCCTCCACGTGGCGAAAGGTGTAAACGAAGCTAGGCAATTAGTCGCCGGCTTCACTGGTGCAATAAGCCCCTAGTACGGCTAAGAGGTCAGAGAGTGGGAACACCTCACCGGTGGACTTAATGTTCGTCGATGAGAACCCTTTCGAAGCAGTGGCACGAAATAAAAGGCGTAGAGGCTCCGGCGGAGAGGCTATGGCAGGCGATGATGACAACCTGGGCCCCCTGGACCCAGAGTCCTTCGAGAGGCTACTTAGGGCGTTCAGTGCCCACAAGTCCAACATAAACAAGACCATCCTAAGTCTTAAAGACTCTAACAATAAGAAGACCCTACTACTAACGTCCGTAGAGGGTCTAGAGAGAATATTCTCTACCTTGTCCACAGAATAAACCAAGCTGTCTACCGAGCACAAAGTGATGGAAAGAATCGATGACAAACTCTCGAAGTTGAGTCTAGCCAGTAAACCGTCATATGCTGAAGCGACCGGATTGCATTCGGCCTCTGCCAAAATAAAAACGCCAGCTGGGAAACGAATCACGCCGGTTAAAAGCACGGCTGTGACAATTATGCCGAAGCAGGGAAACGTGCAAATAAAGTCAGCGGACGAAACGAAGGTTGCCCTGGCCAAAATTCTTAGCCCTCAAGCACTTGGCCTGAAGTTCGACCGGGTAGTCCGCAAGGGGCAAGCTGGGTGTCCGTATTGAATCTAACACGTCGGATCTATCTAAGATCCCGGCGGCTGTGCTTGAGGAAGCGGGTTTGGCGGTCATGACCAACACCAAGTTGAGGCCGCGAATGGCTTTGTATGGCGTCCCCCGCGAGTATACGTCTGAGACCCTTAAGAAGGCTGTAATCGATCAGAACTTTGATCACCTATCTGGCCCGGAAAAGGCAAAGGCCGAGAGCTCTATGGAGTTCATGTTTGGCAAAAGGGAGCAACCAACTGTCCACTGGATAGTCGAGGTCACGCCAGATATGAGACTAACCCTGCTTGAAAAACGCAGGCTTTACGTGGGCTGGAGGTCGTTAAGACTGACAGACCACATAAGGGTACTAAGGTGCTTTAAGTGCCAAAAGTTTGGACACCTCAGTACTGACTGCCAATCTGCAGTCCAGTGCGGTCACTGTGGAGGGGCACACGAGGATAAGAGCTGTCCCAACAAGGCTGGACCAGCCAAGTGTGCGAACTGTGAAAGGAACGGGCAAAAAGGTGATGCGATCAAACAGCATCGTCCAACAAGTGTCCGGCATATCTAAAGAAATATGAGGCCACCATACTGAATACCGATTATGGAGCTTGACGAGCCTGTATTATATAAGGTGGCCCAAGTCAATCTCCAAAACTCAAGGGTAGCCACGTCCGAAGCAAGGGTAGTGGCGGAAAGGCTAGGATGGGATATCATGCTGGTGCAAGAGCCATACACCTACTATCATGCTCCATCAGGCTCACTCAGAGTCGGAGGTTTTTCTAGATCTACCAAGATCTTGGCTGACTACTCACATGATCGGTTTTATGCAGCCATCATCGTGCTAAATCCAAACATAGACATCCTACACCTTAGACAGTACTTGTCAAGCCACCTCGTAGTCGCCAATCTATCCCTTAACGGAGAGAGCGTCTGCTTCGTCAATGTGTACTGCCCTCCTAGCGAGGATATAGAGCCTTTCGTAGACGAGCTGAACAGGATAGTGCGAGAGATGGCCGGTCGAAAGATCGTTGTGGCCGGGGACTTTAATGCCAAGTCCCAATTATGGCACTCCCGCCGAACGGACGAGAGAGGCCAAGTACTGGAGACTCTAATACTCGAGAACGACCTGCACGTCCTCAACGTCGCAGGTCAACCATATACCTTCCAGACCGTCAACGGTGTCAGCAACATCGATGTATCCATGGCAACCGGTGGGCTTCTCCGGCGTATAAGCAATTGGGTCGTCAAGCCCGGACTGGTGCAGGGCGATCACAGGGTAGTGACATTTGGCGTAACCGTCAACACGCGACATAATCCACCTCGCTCGGTCTATTCTTTCAAACGCCTAAACAAGCCAGAGCTTTTGTCAGCCGCAGAAGACCGTATGCGAGTCATTGAGATGGACCAGGTGTGGCGACCTGATCCAACTGGCATAGACCAGCGAGTGGAGACCTTGACGGAAATGTTGGCTGACCTACGTGATCAGTTTCTGTGCCGAGTGCCGGTAAAGGGCGCCCACAACAAGTGGTGGACAGAGGAACTGTCCGCCACTAGGTCGCTAGTCACAGCAGCCAGGAGAGCCATGCAACGACACCGTAATGACGACAATCTGGAAGAGTACGCGACACGATACCGCGCGATTCGTCTCCAGTACAAAAGGTTGATCGATGCTGCGAAGCAACGGTCATGGCAGGACTTCGTCCAAAACCATCTCGAGCGCGACCCCTGGGGAGCCGTATACAAAATATCCGCTGGCAAGGCCCGAGCCCCTACCATCTTGTCCTCCACCACTTGTGGCAGACACTTGACCATCAGCAGACCCTCTCCGAAATCCTCCACAAGTTGTCCCCGGACGACGACATGGAGAACGACCTGCCTACGCACTGGGGTACTCGTGTTCATGCAGACCTGGCTACTGGCAACCTCGACATAGACTCTTCCTTTACGGAAGATGATCTATCGTCAGCCGTCTCACGAATGCCAAATGGCAAAGCCCCCGGGCACGACGATATCCCAGGCGAGCTTATCAAGCACACATTCCATGTGATTGGCGACTACCTTCTCAGGCTGTTTCAGGACTGTCTATCGTTTGGATACTTTCCGAGATCATGGAAAGAGGGTCGGCTAATTACCATCCTGAAAAGCCCCGACAAGGATCCCAGCGATCCTAAATCCCTCCGGCCGATTACGTTGCTGGTTCATAACAAGATACCTGATGACCTCTTGCTTCACCCTTCGCAGTACGGATTTAGGCGAGGAAAATCGACGATACAGGCAATGAATCACGTACATGATCGGATTAGGGAGTCAACCCATAAGTACGTGGCCGCGGTATTTCTGGACATATCCGGAGCAGTTGACAATCTGTGGTGGCCGGCTGTCCTGGTTACTATGCACAGCTAGGGTCTTCCGCATAAGGTGATTAGGCTCATCAGGAGTTATCTCTCTGATAGAACCCTCACCATGGCCAGCAATCACCACAAGGCTAGTAAGCATACTACTAAGGGGTGCCCGCAAGGTTCCGTCCTTGGTCCTACACTGTGGAATATAATGATAGACACGCTGCTCCGCATCAATCTCCCGCACCAATGCGACATAATTGCCTATGCCGATGACATTGCGCTGCTCATACATGGCAACTCTAGACGCGAACTAGAGGAACGGGCAGCAGCCGTCTTGGCCCCGGTCCATGACTGGATGGTGAATAATAAGCTGAGTGTTTCAATCGCCAAAACTAAGTACGTCTTGTTCGGAGGGATCCTCAGGAGAAATCCGGTCATCCGCATGGGGCCGCACTCCATCCAACGTGTTGACCGGATGAAGTACCTCGGGGTGATCTTCGACGAGCGTCTTAGTTTTGCTGTCCACGTATCATATGTAACGAACAAGGCCAAGGCCATATTCTCCAACCTTAGGAGGTACACAAGGCAAGTATGGAATCCAGCAATGGTTCCAGCCCTGAAGGTGATCGTTGATCGGGCCATTATTCCCATTGTGTCGTACGGTGTGGAGGTGTGGGGCCACCGTCTGTCTAATTCTAGGGTGATTAGGACCCTGGGTCAGGTGCAGGGCCTGTACCTGCGGACCATTCTTAAGGCGTATCGCACAACGCCGGTGGAGACACTCTGTGTTATATCAGGTCACCCGCCTATTGATCTCCTGCTGTCCGAAATCCGAGCGCAGAGAGCCCTTAGAAGGTCCGGAGAAGGCTGCCACACAGGCAGCAGAGTCCTTATTGGGGATTTCCAATACTTGAGGCAAGCTTACGAGCACCTTAGAGAGCTGACGCTGGACAGGTGGGTGGACCTATGGGCTGAATGTCCCAAAGGCCGCATGACATTTGAACTGCTGGGACCTTTACGAGATTGGCTACAGCTGGAAATAGGGGTACTCAACCCTGCTATGATCCAACTATTGACGGGGCATGGCAATTTTAGACTACACCTGCATCGGATCGGTAAAGCACCCACGCCAGACTGCGAAGTCTGTGGAGTGTGTGACGATCCACCGCATAGGCTGTTCGATTGCCCGCTGCATTATGAGACCCGATTGGTAGCAGAGGCTGTGCTTGGAACCGGACTTGCACGAGGAAACTTCCCAGTATTCGTGCCAAGACTTGGAGACAGTCTAAACCCTCTCATTGCGTAGTTATGCCAGGAAACTACTTGGTCTCCCAACTCACACACTAAGCCACTAGATAACATCCTATGCATAGCGTTTTTAATCTTTATTATATGTTATCAAAAATTAGTAGTCCGTGTCTAAATCTGTGATGTTGCCCAAAAAGAAAGTCTGTCTTTCTGGAGCTGGATAAACCGTAAGGTAGGAACCAGCTCCAAGGTAAGCACAACGTGCTTACCGATAGGTCTTCAACCGACCCGCGCTTGCAGGCATGCATACAAAATGTCCATTGTGTTTTATTTTCTAAATTATTTTTATATTATTATTAAAATATTTGAGAGGACTGCTCCTTAAGAGCAGGGGTGGAAGGAATTAACGGGCCCTCTCTTTATGCGCTGGGTTGCCTTGGAAGGACAGGCCAGGGAGCGTTGGTTTCACACGTGGCATCCACCGCAATCCTTTTCTAAGTGCGATAGAATTCGTCTACCATACGGGCCACTCAGGTGGAGCCTTGTACTAGGCGTCCCGGGCGGACAGGACGGTTAGTGCTCCGGCACTCAGTCCGACTTATTCTATCCACTTGGTACCACCACACTCCCCCAAAATAAGCAATCAGCAAGTCGGCCCTTCGGGACGGCTCCGCTCTAAATCTACCACTACACGGGAGACCGTTGACAGCCCAACAACGATCCATCCGCGCCACCATCTAAATCTAGTGGCGATACAAATGATAACTCCTCCACCAAATACTGCTAATACCTCCGCAATGGTCGATTCCGCTGCCTCGATATCTAAATGTAGCCAGGAACTCACCCAAGCATTCGTAGACAACATTAAAAGTCTTATAAGGGAAAGCATAAACTATTTAAATTCCAATGCTGCCAAAAAGGCAAAGAAGGAGGACTTAGTCAAGTTTTTCCAAAGAAACGTAATAAACCTAAACACTAGCTGCAACAATTTGCAAAAATCAATCAGACTCTCTAATTCTCTGGGTGAGTTCGTGGCTAGGGTCGACGATACTCTGTCGAACCTGAAATCCAAGCTGAGTGCCGCCACACCCAGCAGCTCTCATGCCAGCGCTGCGAGTGTGGCACCCACCTTCGCGGAAGCTACTAAAAAGACCAAAATCAAAATCGGAGGTAATAAATCAGTATCTGCTACAAAAATCCACAAAATAGAAATCACACCTATTGATGAAAGCAAATTTGCCTCTTTAAGTGATGTAAAGATCAGCATTCTAAAAGGGGTGGACCCAGCCAAAATTGGCTTCATCCCATCAAAAATTTACCACACCCCAAACAAGGGCGTTGTGATTGACTCACGGAACCCAAACATTGTCAAGCTCCTAGACCAACCGCAGTTGGCGTCTCTAAATCTGAAAGCCTCGACTCCTTCTAAGGCGCGCCCTCGCCTCTCTCTATTTAACGTCCCCACGGACATGAATGAAACAGACCTGGCATCCACCATACTCAATCAAAATGATCTGGCCTCTGAATTCGGCTTGAGCGACATTAGGGCTGTGCATAAATTTGGAGCAAGAGGCAAAAATATTGTCCACTGGACCCTGGAAGTATCCCCTCGCTTGCGCGAGGTCCTTCTTGAGGCCAAATATATCGGAATTGGATGGTCAAATTCCAGGCTCGAAGATCGAGTGCGAGTTACAATATGCTATAAATGCTATGGGTTTGGCCATACAGCGGCCAAATGCCGGGCCGAGACGTTCAGGTGCGGACACTGCTCAGGCGAGCACGAAAAGAAAGACTGCCAGCTCACTAATAACATTGCCAAACTTAAATGCGCCTGCTGCGCGCAGTCTAAGAACACTAAAAATGATATTAATCATACTCCTGGATCAGACAAATGTACAGCCTATAATAAGAGAGTTAAAAACCTAATTGAGAATACTGATTATGGAACTTAAACTAACGGAGATAAAAGTCTGCCAGATAAACCTCCATCATTCATCCATAGCTACCTACTCATTTTTTAACTCTTCAGAAATCAGCAAATGGGACCTGGCTCTGATTCAGGGGCCCTACTGTGTCCTGTCCAAGACATCATACCTAATATCAACCATTTTCATACTATCGCTCGCAGTAAGGCGCTCTTTAAGGCATGCATAGTAGTGCTGAATCGCAACCTGGACGTCCTGGCCTTGCCAAGTTGCTGTAGTGTTGAAGTTGCCGCTGCCACAGTCGAGTGCGGAAGGCCCAAAATCCTCGCCATCAGCTCTTACCTGCCTCCCAGAGAGGACATCGAAAATGGTCTCGACCAGGTCACGAACTCTATCACAAGTATCGGTCTCCCTTGTATAATGGGAGCCGACTCAAACGCCAAAAACCCGTCCTGGTTTTCTGATTGCATCGACCATAGAGGCGAGCTCTTTGAGAGCTTCGCATTCGGCTTGAATATGCACATTATCAACACTCCCTCTGATCTAAAAACCTACAGCTCTGTACATGGCGAAAGTAATATCAACGTCTCGCCCTGCTCTTCGAGCCTGCTTAAAATATCACTGAATGGAAAGTCCTTGCAGACATCTGCCCAAGCGACCATCGCCTTATCTCCTTCAGAGTGCACATCCCCGAAATGATCCGCTCGGCCGAGTTCACGTGGACCAGGTCTCTAAACTTACAAGACTCAAACAAAGCGCTTGACGATTGCATCAGAGGCATCGCGGACTAGACAAAACCTCAAAACTATATACATCAATGCTAGCCTAAAGTTCAAAAACCTAATATACAAAGCCAGGACCTCCTCCTGGAGCCAATTTGTTGTCGGCGAGCTGGAGAGAGACCCCTGGAGCCTGCCGTACAAACTGTCTAAAATATCAAGGGGTTAAGTGACTTAGGTCACACTCCAGGTTCTGAGAAGTGTGTGTCGTATGCGAGAAGAGTTAAAGCCCTGATCGAGGATACCGATTACGGGCCTTAGAATTAAAAACATAAAAATATGTCACATCAATCTACATCATTCCAAAACTGCTTCTAATGCTTTTTTTAACTCTTCCTTCATAAAAGACAAAGATGTGGCTCTTATCCAAGAGCCATATTGCACCTTCTCTGCATCAGCAAACAAATATATCATTCCTAGTATTGGCCATTTCAGGACGGTTGCTGCCTCGGGGCGTGCCTTTAGGTCGTGCATTGTCGTGCTGAATCCCAGTACAGTGTCTGAATTCTGACCTCTTTGCCTCGATCATCATAGAGTGTGGTAATCTGTCTTTTGCCCTTGTAAGTGCGTACTGTCCCCCTAGGGACGAGCTCTGCGAGGTGTTGGAGAAGGTATCTTCAGACTTGAACTCTATTGACCTCCCGGTTATTATCGGGATGGACTCGAACGCTAAAAGTCCTGTCTGGTTTTCGGACCAGCTGGACCACAGAGGTGATATTGCCGAGAACTTTGTTCTCGAAAACAATTTACACGTCCTCAACATGCCTTCAAACTACACCTCGTACAGCTCCTCTTTGGGGGAGAGTAACATCGACGTCTCGCTGTGCTCTACCAGCCTGCTCGAGCTAATCTCTGGCTGGGTGATTTCTGTGGACTCGTGTCCTAGTGACCACCGGGCTATCTCTTTCTCTTTAAGGATCCCTGATCCATCATCACATAATACGTTTACTTGGGTGAGATCATTGAGAGGATTTGATGTTGACCTGGCATTTGATATGGCCATTCGTGGCATAGACCTATTAGAGTCTCAGGCATGGACGCCTGGTCCTGAGGCGATCGATTTGCGCGCCACTAGCCTTACTAAATTGCTGGCATCTATTAGTGAGAAATTCCTTAAGCGAAGGAAAAGGTTTAAAAACCGTCCAATCTGGTGGAACGACGAGATAGACACTCTCAGGATCAGGCACTGTCAGGAGATTCAATGCTTGTATTAACAAAGCTCGTTCCTCTTCATGGAATAACTTCGTGGTGGAGGAGCTAACGAGGGATCCGTGGAGTCTACCCTATAAATTGTCCAAGACAGGCGGTACTAAGAGACCCCTGATCTCGTGCATCCGTAATTCTAACGGTCAGCTTACTACTAACGGCTGGCTCCGTCCGCGATGCCCGGTCCACCTGGGGCCTTCCCCTCTGTCTTTCTTTTTTTTTACCCCTTCCTAGCCGGGAGGACTGAGAAGTCACGACCCCCTCCTAGCGAGCTCCCGGCGGGCAACGTGTCCGAGTGTCGTGCTTGGGCAGCATGTTTTCCTGGACACGGCTAAGAGTCGTTTAAATCTCGAGGGGTCCTCTGCCCAAAGGTTCCACTCGCTGCAATGTGCCGTCTCCTCCCTGGCATGATGTTAAACTGCCCTTTATGTAATCTGCTCTCTGTTGAACTTCTGAACACTACCGCCCTCCTTGGCACGAGGTTAAACTGCCTATACTCTTTGGCTCCATAACGATTTCGCAGTTGACATCGGGCTGTGCCCGGTGCTACTGCTTCCAGGTGTCCATGTTTTCCCGCTCATTTTTCCCCAATCCCTCCTTCTTTTCTTTACCTTTAAGGCTTTAACAGGCCGGCATTCCATCCTTTTACGTACCACACAACATAATTTATTAGTTAAGTATACTAACAATTTAAACAAAATGTATTAATAACCGCTCTCGAGGCGTGACCCTGAACCATGTAATTGTACAATTTAAATAAAGGAAGGGAACTGGGGAGACAGAGTGGTGGGCAGGGGCTTGTGGGTTGTGTTGGGGGTATCGCAGCTGGACGGGTACGTAGTGCCTCTCCAGCGGCAATGTCCGCAACACCTGGGGCCTTCCCCTCTGTCTCTCTTTTTTTTACCCCTTCCTAGCTAGTAGATCACTAAATTGAATATAAATATTAATTGGTGCTCTAATAAGTTGGTTAAAGTGAAGTGTCCCCCTCCTCGTGGGCTACTAGCGGGCCACGAATTCTCAGGCAGCAAGACAGGGCAGTTTAACTGTTCTCGTGTCCACACACTCACGAGATACCTGAGATACGGCTAAGAGACACACCCCCTTAAAGCGCCTTCGGGCGCTTTTTTATGCGCTTCTGTTGCAAAGCTCTTCCCCGTGTGGACTTGGTGTTAGTAAATCGCGCGTGATCCCAACGGTGGTGTCGGCTTCTACTCGAAGCCCCCTTTGTCCCCCGCCCCGTTGTCTTTCCTCCTTAAAAGTCCCGCTGTGCTGGGTTGCCTTGGAAGGACAGGCCAGGGAGCGTTGGTTTCACGCGTGGCATCAAGTCCACACCACACCATGAGTCACTCCGTATTCGATTCTTTAAATGACCTTCAGGGTGTCTTTGCCGACAGAGTTATGGCGCTCATTTTGAAGGGCTTAGACTATGTCACTTCTGCTTCAGGAAGGAAAGCCAAGAAGGACGTTGTCCTGGATACCTGCACTAAAACTTTCAGTTATCTCGAAACTGAAATGCATAACTTAATTAAAGCTCAAAGAACTTCTTCTGGCACGAAAACCATAATAAAAACCATCAGTTCCTCTATCAAAGCTCTTGACAAGGCAAGAGCAAGTACGAAAACTAGTGCAGGTGCCCAGACTACAATTGCTCCTCTCGCGGCTTCGACGTACGCATCAAAGGTTGTTGGCAGACCGAAGGTCGGATCTTCAGGCAAAAGACCGACAGTATAGTTCACAAAATTGAAATCTCGCCCATAAACGCCGAGGACTTCGAGTCCTTCAACTCTGTCAAAGGCAGCATTCTCAAAAATATTAATCCTGCTACTGTAGGATTTGCTCCCACTAAGATATACCCATCCAAAAATAAAAGCATAATTATAGATTCAAGCAACATTAACATCACAAAGCTGATAGACCGACCTGAGCTGGCCTTTCTCAAACTCAAAGCTTCAGCCCCCACGAAGCGTCTACCAAGACTTTCAGTCTTCAATGTTCCACCCAGTCTTACTGGTGAAAAACTAATCAAAACGATTCTTTCCCAAAACGATTTGCATGATTTTAACTCTACTGATCTAACCCCGGTGCATAAATTCGGTGCCAGAAATAAGAGCATCGTCCACTGGGCCAATGACGTCAACCTTCAACTCCGCAAGGAGATTTTAAACCTCAAATACCTGGGTATTGGCTGGTCCAATTGTAAGGCGGACGACAGAACACGCATTACCATATCTAATAAGTGCCATAAATTTGGACACACGGCAATCAAATGCAGAGAGCTAACCTTCACCTGCGGTTTCTGTGCAGGCGAACGCGAAACGAAAACATGCGAAACGAAAACATGCGAAAAACCCCGCCAAACTAAAATGCGCTTCTTGCGTACAAATCAAAATTACATCTAACCTTGCCCACTTGACCGGTGCTGATAACTGCAAAGCATACAATAGAAGAGTTCAGGCCTTAATTGACGACACTGACTATGGTTCATAAGGCCCATAGTCTGAAAATCTGCCAAATTAATCTACACCATTCAATGTCAGCCTCTTATGCTTTCTTTAACTCACCTATTGTACAAAACATGGATATTGCTCTTGTGCAGGAACCATACTGCACTTTTACACATACTGCAAACAAGTTTGTTGTCCCGGGCATTGGGCACTACAAGGTTATAGCCGAATCTTCAAGTTCATTTCGTTCGTGCATCGTCGTGCTTAATCCGCTTGTGGATGTACTACCTGCTAATATACTAAACTCCTACACTATTGTCGTCGCTTCAGTGGAGTGCAGTGGGCTGTCCTTTGCTCTCATTAGCGCGTACCTCCCGCCGAGGGATGAGCTGACCGTGTCCGCGGATACTATGTCTTCTCTTATCAATGACATTCCTTCCTGCGATTATTTGCATGGATGCTAATGCCAAAAACCCTATATGGTTCTCAAACATATTAGACCACAGAGGCGAACTTCTCGAGAGTTTCGCTCTCGAGAATGACTTACTATGCATTAACACTCCGCAGCCGCATCACACCTTCAGCTCTCCTCTCGGCGATAGTAACGTGGACCTTACCATGTGCTCTGCAGCCCTTCTTAACAAAGTCTCTGATTGGACGGTGACTCTTGACATCTGCCCGAGTGGCCACCGGATGATATCATTTAAGCTTGCCTTGTCTTCCCCCAAGAGACAAAAAGACTATGTCTGGTCTAGACAGATCAGACAAGTCAACGTTGATTATGCTCTCGACGAAACTATCATCGGTATGCGTGCTGTCGATGGTTTTCCTTGGGCTCCTACCACTGAATCTTAAACTGAGTCTGAGTCTTCAAAAGCGCAAAAGATACATAGGTCGTCCACTTTGGTGGAGTGATGGGCTTGACAGGCTCAGGGTCAGAATCAACTTGCAGCGCAGGGCGTTCCAACGTGCTCGCCCCCCATTTCGTTCTGCACTCAAAACCATATACCTAGATACCGCTGACAAGTTCAGGAAACTCATAGAGCGTACTCGCTCGCGGTCGTGGGGCCAATTTGTGGGCGAACAACTCGAATTCGATCCCTGGAGCCTGCCTTACAGGCTTTCCAGGGCGGGTGGGCTCAGCGACCCCCCTCTCACCAGCGTTCGTCTGCCTGACGGCTCAATCACCCAAGGCTTTGCCGAAACCGCTACTGCATATCTAGACCACTTTGTTACCTGTGACGATCCTACCAAGGACGACGTCTTTCAACAGGTGTTCAGGCAGACAACGAGCAAGCTGGTGGGATGCGTACCCACTGTTGGCCCCCCACCGTGCCTGAGGAGGAGGTCTTTGATCTTCTCTGTGGTCTCTCCATAAGGAAAGCTCCTGGCCCTGACAACGTCGTGCCGGGTTAAGTCCTTTGGACTGATCCTACCTCTCCTCCACTATAGCGCTGGCTTTTCTTTTGTTTGGTTTTATGGCTTTTAAAGCTTGATAGGGTCCTATATCCTTTGGTAAGGCTTCTTAACCTTTCCATGTGCTTTGGTTTTATATCTATTAATTTGCTTTTAAAGCTTGATATGGTCCTATCTTTTGTTTAAATACAACTTGGACCCTAATCGTCCCAATCTCCATGGCACGAGTATAAATTGCTCTCCATTGAATCCATATGTATACTTCCTCAAATCAAATAATCATGTCAGCCGGGCTAGCTTTGCACCAGTCTAGTCTGGTGTGTACTTGATCTACTATCATAATTTCCCCCTCAGGGATCTGGTCAAATAATTGTTTAACTATAGTTTTAGGTATTATTTATGCTGGGTCTTGAAACGGAATTTCCGTTAATAATCTACCTTTATTTTGTTGCGTATTTTTAAAACAAGGGTTTTAGGTACCTTGTACCACCACGGTGGATCGTTGACGAGGGGGCTCTAGTATGACGGATCGCCCGCCATACGCTCACTCAGCGCTGAAACGTTTGTCTCCTTTCCTTCCCTCCCTATCTTCTCACCTTTATATAATGTAAATCAAAAGTGTAAAAATGTAATAGCCTGCGGGCTAAGCTACTCAATATAACACAATTGTACTACTAACAGAGAATGTATCCATATAAAAAATTAATAAAGCAAAACAGCCTCGAGGCATAAGTAGGGGAGGGAGACAGAGTGGTTGGCAAGGGCATGTGGGTTGTGGTTCGGACATCGTGACCGGAATCAGTTCGCTGACTTCTGCCGCGATGCCCGGGCTACCTGGGGCCTTCCCCTCTGTCTTTCTTTTTTTTACCCCTTCCTACAACACGTCCATTGGGTCTGGTTCTGCGAACTCATCAGGTTCGGAAATCAGTTCAGGAAGTTCTGGTCGTGTTGCCGGCCATGGTGCACCCGCACGGTCTTTAGATTCGGCGGGGGTCGACAATGCGATCAAAAACACATTCTTTTCCTTAAACGAATTGCAGGAAGTATTCACAAGCAGAATTGCTGTGCTTGTGGATAATGGCCTTACCTTCCTAGCCTCTAGTGCATGTAGGAAAGGCAGAAAAGACGATGCCATCGATAACATCTTTAAAACTTTCAAAGAAATAAAAGCGGACATGATCAATCTTTCCAAGGCTCAAAAAGCTGTTGCTAATACAAGGCTCTTAGTCAAATCCATCAGTTCGACTTTAAATAGCATTACCATTAAGGAGTCTGTGTCCGCTCCAACTTCAATAGCTGCTTCCACCAGCGCTACATATGCCAATGCTGCTACCAAAGGCAAAGTCAAAGCAGTCGGCAGCAAGACTGTTTCTACCAAACCCATTCATAAGGTCGAGATATCACCTATTAACCCTGATGACTTCGCAAATGCGGAGCTCGTCAAGTGCAGAGTTCTAGATGAGGTTAATCCTGCTGACATGGGCTTTGTCCCATCCAAGGTCTATATGGCCAGAAACAAGACTATTGTCATTGAGTCGCATAGCGATAGCATCAGTAAAGTGATCGAGGCTTCTGTAAAGCTTAAAGCTTGTCTGCCTAAAAAGAGGCTTTCTAAGCTGTCTATGTTTGGGGTCCCCTCAACTCTTTCTAAGGAAGACCTGGCTAAAACCATTCTGGAACAGAATAATATTCAACACGACAAGAATGATCTCGTTAATCCTATTCATAAATTTGGTCCTAGAGATCAGAGACTAGTCCATTGGGCTATCGAGGTCTCCCTTGTATGCGAATTAAACTACTTACTAAAAAGTATATTGGTATAGGCTGGCAAAACTGCAGATTTGAGGACAGGACGAGGGTGACCATCTGTTATAGGTGTTTCAGATTCGGCCATACGGCTGCTAAGTGTCAGGAGGAAGTCCAAAAATGTGGGTTCTGTGCTGAGGCACATGACCAAAAAGACTGCCCTAATAAGGAAATTCCGGCAAAAATAAAATGTGCATGCTGCTCACAAATTAAGGGTCTTAGTGATCTCAATCACATCCCTGGCAAGGATAAGTGTATACACTGTGTACATGTACGGACTACGGGCCTCAAAATTGAGAATTTACGTATCTGCCACATAAATCTACATCACTCATTCGTTGCTTCTCAAGTATTTTTTAACTCTCCTTTTATACAGAATTTCGATATAACCCTTATACAAGAGCCGTATTGCACACTTTCAAAAACTTCTAATAAATATGTTATTCCTAACATAGGACATTTTAAAACAATTGCCGCCTCAGGCGCAGTCTACAGGTCGTGTGTCGTGGTGTTGAACCCGCTGCTTGATTTCCTACCTGTTTGTGATCTTACCACAGAACTCTTTGCTACTGTCATTGTTGAGTGTGGGACTTTGTCTCTGGCACTTGCTAGTGTTTACTGTCCTCCCAGGGACGAGCTGTCTATTTTGCTTAACGACATTTCTAACAAAATCGAGATCATGAACCTTCCATTCTTTCTTGGTATGGATTCAAATTCTAAAAATCCAATATGGTTCTCCACAGAGATTGACCATAGAGGCGAACTTCTCGAAAGCTTCGCGCTTGAAAATGATCTACATGTAATTAATGCTCCTTCAACTTTCAATACATTCAGCTCGACTCGCGGGGAGAGTAACATTGACGTCTCGTTATGTTCTTCAACTCTGCTTGGGCTCGTCTCTGATTGGACTGTCACTCCGGACATTTGTCCTAGTGACCATAGAGTGGTTTCAGCCAGCATTAGGATTCCCGATCCTTTCTTGGCAAGTTCTTTTACTTGGGCTAGGTCTCTTAGAGAAGTCGAGGCGGACGCCGCCATCGACGCTGCCATTCATGGCATAATTTCTATCGATTCACACCTCTGGTTACCAGGCACTGAGGCCCTTGACAGAAGGGCTAATAATCTCAACATTCTACTATCTGACATTGGCACTAGATACCTAAAAAGGCGTAAGAAATTTATTTATTTTAAACCGACCGACATGGTGGAACGATGAGCTGGACACTTTAAGGAAAAGGGTTAAAAGACAGAGAAAAGCTTATCAAAGATCTATAGACCCTGTTCGCAGGGCTCTTAAAAATATATTTTTTGTGGAACTCTGCTCTTGATGATTTACTCCTTACTCCTTTGGGCGAAATTACCAAAACTTATGCATATGCAGACGACATTGCTATCCTTTCATTTTTCAATAACCGTGCTGGTATCGAACGTGTCACAAATGATGCTCTCTCAGTGGTCAGCTCCTGGACAGCTGACAACAAGCTTCGCTTGTCCATACCTAAGTGTACTTATGTTATATTCAGGGGCAAATTCGCTAGGAGGCCATCAATCAAGATTCTCAACCAGTTTCTAGAACTCTCACAGAGGCTGTCCGCAAGGTTCAGTTCTGGGTCCGCTTTTGTGGAACTCTGCTCTTGATGATTTACTCCTCACTCCTTTGGGCGAAAATACCAAAACTTATGCATATGCAGACGACATTGCTATCCTTTCATTTTTCAATAACCGTGCTGGTATCGAACGGGTCACAAATGATGCTCTCTCAGTGGTCAGCTCCTGGACAGCTGACAACAAGCTTCGCTTGTCCATACCTAAGTGTACTTATGTAATATTCAGGGGCAAATTCGCTAGGAGGCCATCAATCAAGATTCTCAACCAGCCTATCCGAGGCTCGCTGTCCGCCAAGTACCTGGGAGTCACGCTTGATTATCGACTTAATTTCCAAGAGCACATTAAGCTTGTCAGCCTTAAAGCCAAAGGCCTCTTCGCTAATATCCGCAGACATCTGGCCAGAATCTGGGTTCCACCCACTGACAGTCTCACAACCATCTACATAATGGCGATCATTCCAATCATCAGTTACGCTTATCCAATATGGAAGGATAAAGCCAATTACGTAAGAGCAGAGAGGTGTCTGAATTCTTGTAGAGCGCTGTGCGCTCGCACCAACACTGGTTGCTATAGCGATGTTTCGGTCGAGGCAGCTGGGATTCTTGCAAACATTAAGCCGATGATCTTTGACATGTCTGCTAGACATGCTCTATCTAACATGAGGCACAAAAAACCTGTCAGCCACCTCACTATTTCATGGATTAACCAAGATGACTATCCCAGTTGGGTGGACGCGAAACTCGCTCTGGAGCGTGCAAGCCTGGACGCTTGGCAAACCATTTGGGACGATTATCCTAAAGGTCGCATCACTTATAAATTTTTACCTTCAATCTTGGACAGACAGGAATTGCTCATTCCTCACTCCAGAACTTTGGCTTCCATTTTAACCGGACACGGACGATACAGACGGCACTTTTACATGACAGGCGGCGCAGATAGCCCGCTCTGCCCAAGCTGTAATAAAGTAGACGACTCTCCTCACCTCATTCTAACATGCCCTCTGTACGAAACACACAGAGGGGCTATTTCCAATCTGTTTCCAAACTGGCCGGTGCCTATCAACCAACTGCTTTCGACGCTCATCAACCTGGATTCCACAGATCTCCTAGCTCCATTTGCCTCCTGCGATGAACTTCCTGTACGTTAGTTGTGCAGGAGCTGACATAACGGCTCATTTCCTCCTGGGTAAGAGGTTAAACTGCCTTTCTCTCTGGCTAATACATATATTCCATCTAATCCAATTACCTACCTCGACTTGGTAGTTATCTAACACACAAAGTTTCAATCCTCCTGGGCATCGAGGTTAAACTGCCCTTCTCCTTCCTGGGCACGAAGCGAAACTGCCCTCCAAATAAATAAATCGCCTCCATCTAATTTCATCTATTTTACATAAAATAAATCAAATAATATCTCAATATATCCTCACTAATTGAACGATTCCTTACGTTCTTCTCGAATGCAACATTTCTCTCTCTAGTTGTATATAGTTAAATAACAAAATACCTTTTTATTACCGACAGCCGAACGAAAATTACATCACAATCGAAATACCACCTTTCGAAACGCTTTTGAGAAACTTTCCTGTAAACATCCAAGACGGAGAAATTATAATAGCAGAAACTAAACTGATCAAACTTTTCATTCCGGAAACAGTAACTATAGCAAAAAAACCATTTAGCCCAATTTGAAATTTACAATAATACCCCCAAAACCCAAATCGCGACATTTATCGATGCCTTTCAGGTAACGCCTTTTCAAGAGAATAATTTCGAAATATTTAATTTCCAAGCAAGCACTCAACTCCGCGAACAATCTAACACACTTGAAAACCCCATACGTCTCATTCGAACAGAACATATGAACAATCAAGAAAAACAAACAATTACTCAAGTCATTAATGAATACCAAGACCTCCTATACAGAGAAAAATCACCTCTTACATACACGAACAAAATTAAACACGTCATACAGACCACCGACGAAACACAAATACATACAAAATCTTACAGATATTAATCGACGGTATAATTCGACCCTCTTCTTCTCCTTGGTCATCCCCTATTTGGATAGTACCCAAAAAGATAGATGCCTCCGGCAAAAAGAAATGGCGAATAGTAATCGACTATAGAAAATTGAATTCCAAAACAATCGACGATAGGTACCCTTTACCAAACATAACAGACATCCTAGACAAATTAGGTAAATCCATTTACTACTCGACCCTTGATCTTGCTTCTGGGTTCACCAAATCGAAGTAGACCAAGAATCCATAGAAAAAACTGCGTTTAATATAGAAAATGGCCATTTCGAATTTGTTAGGATGCCATTTGGATTGAAAAACGCTCCCTCCACGTTTCAAAAAATAATGGACTTTATACTCAAAGATTTACTTAATACTTGCTGCGTAGTCTACATGGACGACATAATCATATTTTCAAAATCACTACAAGAACATAAGGAACACCTTATACAAGTTTTTCACAGGTTACGCGACGCTAACCTAAAAATACAACTCGAAAAATCAGAATTCTTTAAAAAAGACGTAGAATTCTTAGGACACATTATCACGCCTAATGGTATAAAACCAAACCCAAAGAAAATCGAAGCAATAAAAAAATTCCCTATTCCTAAAACCCAAAAGGAAATTAAATTAATAAATTAATTAAAAAACTTCGCCCATATTACCAAACCTTTGACTAAATGCTTAAAGAAGGACCAAACCGTCACGCATACCCAAGAATTTATAAACTGTTTCAAGAAATGCAAAAATATATTAATGAATCCACCAATCCTACAATATCCTGATTTCGAAAAACCATTCATCGTAACTACAGATGCTTCAAAGGTGGCCGTAGGTGCAGTACTTTCACAAGGTCCCATAAGTCAAGATTTACCAATTGCTTTTGCTTCAAAAACACTTAACGCGGCAGAACAAAATTACTCAACAATAGAAAAAGAAATGTTAGCAGTCGTATTTGCTACTAAACAATTCAGACCATATCTATACGGTAGAAAATTTCAAGTCTATTCTGATCACAAACCACTACAATGGCTTTTTAATCTCAAAGAACCCAATTTACGTTTA